CTGCGTATGTCCAAATCCTGTATGTTTTAAGAAATTTCTTGCATGTCATTAGTTTATTTTCATTTTACATTGCATCTAAACTTTTCTTAGAAACCAAGCTTTAGGTATCTGTTCTCTAGAGTATGCATATAGTTAGGATTCACAGATATGTATTGTCTAAACTCTAGTTTATCTTAGGTTGGATTTTCAAACTCATATTGAACACTTCATTGTGTTAGTCTAAGGTGTAGACCCAAAGTTCGAGACAAGAGATGGAATCAAAAGGACGAGAAAACGAGCAGACAGATCCACGGTCGACCGAGTCGGTCGACCGCGAACGTGCACACAAGCTGGGAGAGCCTGGATCAGGTCGCGGTCGACCGGGGCGGTCGACCGCCAAAACCCTGTAAGTAAACTGGTCTCCGGGGGGGGTCGACCGCGAGACCGTCGGTCGACCACGTCGGTCGACCGCGAGTAAATTTGGCAGTTTCCTGTTCTGTTTAGGAATCTGTTTCACCCAGGATTCTATATATACCCCATACGATTTTAGGGTTTGTACTACATCAAAAAGGAGAGCTTTTTGACTGCAAAGAGAGAGAGAATCTCAGAGAGATTAACCCATTGTTTGAGAGCTTGTAATTTCTTCTTCAATTAATAAAGAGATTGTGTGGTGTGGCTCCCGAGGACGTAGGCACGTTGCCGAACCTCGTTAAATCTGTGTGTTCTTCTCATTTACTGTTTTTGCAAGGTTAAATCTTTATTTGTGGTGTTTTTTCCTACTTTCCTACTTTCAACACAAGGTCCGGAAGGGCAAGGGTTTGATTGATTGTTTTGAATCCCCAACAACTGGTATCAGAGCTTCGTTCAGCAATTTGTGTGAAAGCCATGGCAGAGGAAAGCAAATCAAAGATCGAGAAGTTTGACGGTTCAGACTTCGCCTACTGGAAGTCGCAGATGGAGGACTATCTGTACTAGAAGGACTTGTATCACCCGCTGATGGGCAAGAAAAAGGAAAAGAAGAAAGAGGAGTCAGATGGTGATTGAGAGGTACTGGATAGAAAGACTCTAGGGAAAATACGGTTGTCGCTCGCCAAATCAGTAGCCCACAATATTCTGAAGAAGAAGACGACGGTGGGGCTTATGGAAGCGCTCGCGAAGATGTACGAGCAACCGTCGACAACAAACAAGGTACATCTAGTCAAAACTCTTTTCAACCTCAAGATGGCAGAAGGACGGTCCTTCACGATGCACCTCAGCGAGTTCAACACGATTGTTGATCAACTTATCTCCGTGGACATCACGTTCGATGACGAACTGCAAGCCCTTCTACTACTATCACAGTTGCCGGATAGTTGGGCAGGTTGTGTGACGGTAATCAGCAATTCGGCGGGAAAAGAGAAGTTAAAGCTGAATGAGGTTGTTAGCAGGATTCTATCCGAGGAGGTTAGAAAGAAATCGTCCGAATCAGAAGGTTCAGGCTCAGCCCTAAGTTTCGAGCAGAGAGCAGAAGCCAGAAGAAAGGGAACCAGAACAGGAATCGGTCGAAATCAGTGAAGAAGAGGCCGAACTCGAAGGTTAGGTCCATCAAAGGGAAGTGTTGGAACTGTGGCCAGGAGGGCCATATGTCTTCGGTCTGTAAAGCATCAAAGAAGGATGCGGGTGAGCAGGAGGCTCATATTGTGCAAGATGCCTTGATCCTTGCTATGGATAGCGATTCTGATTCTTGGGTCATCGACTCAGGAGCTTCTTTCCACGCCACTGCTAATAGGAAACTACTTCAGAACTATATAGCAGGGGACTTTGGTAAAGTATATTTGGGGGATAATGAACCTTGCAATATTGTTGGAAAGGGCGACGTGCAGATACAGATAAAGGGCTCTAAGTGGAATTTGAAGAACGTGAGACACGTGCTGAAGCTGAAGAGGAATCTTGTTTCGGTGGGACAGCTTGGAGAAGAAGGCTACGTTTCGACATTCATCGGGGATTCGTGGAGAATCTCCAACGGTACTATGGTTGTTGCCCGAGGTAATAAAACAGGAACTCTCTACCTCACTTCACATGCGAGTGACACCCTCGCAATTACAGCTGGCAAGGAGAGTACAGATCTGTGGCACAATAGGCTGGGACACATGAGACATTCACAAGGAAAGCTAACCGGGATCGACACCGTGGAAGTCGGGGTTTGTGAAGACTGCATCTTTGGAAAGCAGAAGAGGGTTAGTTTCCAGAAGGGTGGAAGGTCACCTAAGGCTCAGAAGCTAGAATTGATTCATACAGATGTATGGGGTGTGTGTCTTCTTTTGGCGGTTCGAGATACTACGTCACCTTTATCGATGATCACTCGAGGAAGGTGTGGGTTTACTTCATGAAGCACAAGTCAGAGGTGTTCGAGATCTTCAAGAAGTGGAAGGCCATGGTCGAGAACGAGACAGAACTGAAGGTGAAGTGCTTGAGATCAGATAATGGTGGAGAATACGAGCTGGAGGAGTTCAAGAGGTTCTGTGCTACGAATGGGATTCGCTTAGAGAGGACTACTCCAGGGACGCCGCAGCAGAACGACATTGCAGAGAGGATGAACAGGACCTTGACAGAGCATGCGCGGAGCATGCGATTACATGCAGACCTGCCTAAGACATTTTGGACGGATGCGGTGCATACAGCAGCATACCTTATCAATCACGGGCCATCAGTTCCATTAGATTTTGGGATTCCAGAGGAGGTTTGGAGTGGAAAGAAGATAAATCTCTCACACTTGCGGGTATTTGGTTGCGTGGCTTATGTTCATATCAGTGACCATGTCAGGGACAAGCTAGAAGCTAAGTCACAGAAGTGCACATTCATTAGATACGTCATTGATGAGTTCGGGTATCGCCTTTGGGATGAGAAGAACAGGAAGATCATCAGGAGCCGGGATGTAATATTCAATGAGGAGGTGATGTACAAGGATAGGGACAATGCCAAGGATAGCCAAAGCAGTGGGAGCAGCATTACGGATACAGGTGGATCCGAGTACATGGATTTGGAGGAATTTCCAGATGGGGGCAACAATGTCAGTTCTGACCGTAGAATGGAGGAGACTACAGGTGCAGAAGCCCAGGACGTGGAGCTTAGGAGGTCATCCAGGGCACCCAAACCAAATCCCAAATACATCTCGTCACTTGATTATCTACTCTTAACAGATAGCGGAGAGCCGGAGTGTTATGAAGAGGCAGTGCAAGTGAGTGAATCTCAGCAGTGGGAGCATGCGATGCAGGAGGAGATGGATTCTCTACTCACTAATGAGACATAGGAGTTAGCCCAGCTACCTGCACAGAAGAAAGCCTTGAACAATAAATGGGTCTACCGGGTCAAGCAGGAGAGTGATGGAAGCAAGAGATTCAAGGCCAGATTAGTCGTGAAAGGGTTTCAACAGTGGGAAGGAGTAGACTACACGGAGATATTTTCCCCTGTTGTGAAACTCACAACCATCAGAGTGGTGTTGAGTTTGGTAGTTGCAGAAGACCTCTTCCTTGAGCAGTTAGATGTGAAGACTGCCTTTTTTATGGTGACTTGGATGAAAAAATCTACATGAAGCAGCATGTTGGCTTCATTGAAGAAGGAAAGGAAGAGATGGTGTGCAAGCTCAAGAAGAGCTTATATGGTTTGAAACAGGCTCCGAGACAGTGGTATAAGAAGTTTGATAACTTCATGCAGAACAATGGCTACAGAAGATGCAATTCGGATCATTGCTGTTATTTCAAAAGGTTCGAGTCTAGCTTTATTATTTTGTTATTATATGTTGATGACATGTTGGTAGCAGGACCGTGTTTAGAAGAGATAAACAGTTTGAAGAAGCAGCTAGCAATGGAATTTGTAATGAAGAATCTGGGTGCAGCGAAGCAGATTCTAGGGATGCGAATCAGTAGGGATGAAGCTGAAGGGACATTGAGATTGAGCCAAGCTGAATACATTGAGAAGGTACTTCAGAGGTTTAACATGCAGAATGCTAAAGTTGTTAGCACACCCCTTGGAAGTCAGTTCAAGTTATCTGAGGAGCAATCGCCTAAGACAGATGCAGATAGAGAGCATATGAGCAGGGTGCCATATTCTTCAGCCATTGGGAGTCTCATGTACGCGATGGTTTGCACGAGGCCGGACATCGCCCATGCAGTGGGAGTTGTGAGCAGATTTGCAAGCAATCCAGGAAAGCAGCATTGGGAGACCGTGAAGTGGATAATGCGGTACTTGAGGGGGACAACGAACAAGCCACTATGTTTCAGGAGGAAGGAATTGGTGCTGCAGGGATACGTGGATGCGGACTTCGCCGGTGATCATGATACGAGGCGAAGCACCACGGGGTATGTTTATACCTTAGCGTCGACAGCAGTGAGCTGGGTCTCACGTCTGCAGAAGATTGTGACTTTGTCTACAACCGAGGCTGAGTATGTCGCGGTGACTGAAGCAAGCAAGGAGATGATCTGGTTGAACGGGTGCTTGGAAGAGTTGGATCTGAAGCAAGGGAGAGGAGTTCTTTATTGTGATAGCCAGAGCGCTATACATCTTGCCAAGAATCTAGTATATCATGCCAGAACGAAGCATATCGACGTCAAATACCATTTTATATGCTCGCTAGTTGAGGACGGAAAGTTGTATTTAATGAAGATTTTGGGGAGTCAAAATCCGGCGGACATGTTGACAAAGGCAGTCACCATTGAGAAACTGGAGTTGTGCGCAACTTCAGTTGGCCTTCACGAGTAGAAGACGAAGGCGGAGCCACACTACGAGGATCGGCGAGATTGCCGGAATATTGTTGATTGAAGAAAGAATTTTTTCGGGGGAAAAGATACATGCGAAGAAGGGGAGAGTTCGGATGAACTCATTGTAGGCACTTTGGTCTCCAAGTGGGAGATTGTTAGTCTAAGGTGTAGACCCAAAGTTTGAGACAAGAGCTAGAATCAAAAGGACGAGAAAACGAGCAGACAGATCCACGGTCGACCGAGTCGGTCGACCGCGAACGTGCACACAAGCTGGGAGAGCCTGGATCAGGTCGACCGAGGCGGTCGACCGCGAGACCGTCGGTCGACCGCGTCGGTCGACCGCGAGTAAATTTGGCAGTTTCTTGTTCTGTTTAGGAATCTGTTTCACCCAGGATTCTATATATACCCCATACGATTTTAGGGTTTGTACTACATCAAAAAGGAGAGCTTTTTGACTGCAAAGAGAGAGAGAATCTCAGAGAGATTAACCCCTTGTTTGAGAGCTTGTATTTTCTTCTTTAATTAATAAAGAGATTGTGTGGTGTGGCTCCCGAGGACGTAGGCACGTTGCCGAACCTCGTTAAATCTGTGTGTTCTTCTCCTTTACTGTTTTTGCAAGGTTAGATCTTTATTTGCGGTATTTTTTCCTACTTTCCTACTTTCAACACAAGGTCCGGAAAGGCAAGGGTTCGATTGATTGTTTCGAATCCCCAACACATTGCATATAAAAAACTTATCAATGTACATATTTGTTAGCGGAAGTTAATGATTGAAACTTCAATGAAAAATAAGTTCTGATGATGGTAACAAGGTTGCAGCATGTACCTGAGAAAAGGTTGTTTTGATGTACTACTGATCTTGAACCCTCAAACTGCGAAAGATGAATAGGCAAACCATAATCTTAAAGAAGCACAAAATACGATCATTTAAAAGATTGCATTGAAAGATATCACTGTATGTACTAAAAACACCAAAATAACCTTTGATTCATAATAATTGTGATACCATAGTGGCTTATATTCTGAGATCATCTGTGTTTTCCTACATAAAGGTAAAAATCCTTTGATAATCAACAGCATATTTAAGATTAGCTCATGTTCATGCAACATTAGCCTTGACACGTAATGTACAATTTTCTTAATTCTTTACAGTACTGATACAACTATTCATTTAACTTAATCAAACTATAAGAGAACTGACCTTGCAAGATAACATCTCAACTTTGCAATCTTCGCTCGTCGGAGTCACTCTCAAGTCCACCACAGGCACCGCATCGAACTGCAGCAACTGAATTCTGTGCAAAGTGCACCTGTCCACAAAATTATTTACAATAATTAATAAGCTCACATTCAAATGATTCAGTATCAATATGTAAATATGATTACACCTGTAAGTGTTCAAATCGACAGGCTCAAATCTCTGCAGGGCTCTCTTATTCAACAGGGTTTCGATCCCGGACGGGTGAGCAAGGAACTCACTAATAGGGAACTCTTCGGCATACTTAGGCAGTCTGACCTTTTCCTTGCTTTTGGCAAATAAGTTTGCTTTCTTACTACTTGTGATCATTGCCATTGCGTCCCTTTTCCTTCTGCATTATAAGTTGAAAGAGAGAGAGAGAGAGAGAGAGAGAGAGAGAGAGAGAGAGAGAGAGAGAGGGGTAAAACATATTAGAAGTAGCTCTAAATCGAGAACACAGCTAAATGAAAGTACCTGATGGAGGAGGAGGAGATTTGAGAAGGCAAAGAAAGAGAGTGGCTCAACATTGTGCATGTGGGGTTTGTGCCGAAGAATTCAGTGAAGGAGAAGGGATCGAGGAAATAATGAAGAAAGGGGGAGGCAAAGTTTGTAGCTAAATCTGTGGCTCAGTTTAATTTGTTTGTGAAGCCTAACATGTTGAAAGAAACAATCTGAAATCTGAAATGTCGAACTGAGGGAAATCAGTATGAGACTTTGAGAAGTGAAGAACGTCTAATTAAATGAGGAATGAATTGTTTCGTACGCCTGAAGTCGGAAGAAAACTCGTCCACGGAAAGTCGGAAAGAGGCCGTTTGGTGCGCAGAAAGAGACTGTCCCCTGTTTTATCCACAGAGATGCCTTGGATAAATGGATGATAGACCAAATAATTTGTACAACGTTTGCTTTGTTTTGATGGAAGATGTCACGTGTCCGCAAGAAATTACCCCCATAAACTAAGTTTTGGTGAGGTTTAAATTAAGGGGCTGTTTGTTTGAAAAAAAAAGGGAAATCAAAGAAAAGGAAACTTATTTCTAAGAAAAATAGGTTTTTGGATTGTTTGGTTGGTTAAAAAAAGAAGGAAATCAAATAAATGGAGATGAGATGAGTTGTCACCTTATTATAGGATGATGTGAGTGATTTTTTAAGAAAACTTGTTTTGATGTTGTTTGGTTGGCGGAAAAAAAAAATAAGAAAATGAATTATAAGAAACCTATTTCTTGTAATAGGTTGTTTTCTTTTGTTTGGTTATTTCTTAAAAATAAGAAAATTGATGAGATGAGATGAGTTGTTATTATATTATTGGATGATGTGACCCACACTTAAGGAAATTGTTTTCCTAGTTTTTTGGGAGGAAAACAAAGAAATAAAATGTTAATGAGATGAGATGAGTTGTTATAATCTTATTAGATAATGTGAGTGATTTTTAAATATGAGAGGAGATGAGTTGAGTGATGTTGTGGATGAAAATAATATTTTATTAGATGTGGTGGATGTGATGGATGGGTTGTTAGATGAAATTAATATTTTATTAGATGTGATGGATGAGTTGTTAGATAAAAATAATATTTTATTAGATGTTGTGGGTGAGTTTTAGGGATGAAAATGTGTGAAATTGTACTTTTTTAGATTTCTTGGTTTTCATTTCTATTTTTTGGTTTTTTAGGAAATAACCAAACAGACCCTAAAGAGAGATAAAAGGGGCGGCGCAGTAGGTCACATGGCATGGCAGAGCCATAAAAAAATAAAATAAAATTAAGTGGAAGGAAATTAACTAGTTAATCCACTAAAAAAAGGATTAATTAGTTAGCCCATGAGGTAAGAGTTGTTGAGCAAATTACACTAAGCTGCAAAGAACTTTCAGGTTTTTGTAGTAAATTGCCAATAACTATCAAAATTGCACTATACCTCCTATACCTTTTATAGAAAATCCCCTATCTTTGGATAAATTACACCAAACCCCCAATAACTTTAAAAATGAAATTTTATGTTGTTTTTTTGTTCTAATTGGTAAGGGTTAATTGCAAAATGCAAAAACTTGTTAGGGATTTTTTTTTTTACAAAATACAAAAGTTATGGGGTTCACTGTAAAACACTAAAAGAAATTACCCTTAAATCCTCACCCTCTTTTAGTTTTTGAAAATAAAGAGAACTAAGCTAAAGAGGTAGCTAGTAAACATAGTACAACTAGAATTATTATTTTTAATAAATAGCTAATTTTTAATCCGTCTAAACAAGTGGATTGTAAAATCTTCATTTTGAGGTCATGTAAATCCCCTTAGTAGGATAACCCTTTTTAGATTTTTGCGTTTGCAAATTGAGGCGTGTTAACTACTGTAATGTTTTTGATAGGACCACTTACTTAACCCTTTACCAAACAACATTTCTTTTATCTGAAAAAAATAAAACTAAATAGTAATTAATGATGAATGTATAGATTTAGGGGCTGTTTGGTTAGGGCCTGTTTGGTTGATTTCCTAAAATCAAAGAAAAAGAAATAATATAAGAAAATCATTAAAAGTTAATTTCCATCTATTTTCTCAAAAAATGTCATGAAATGAGTTTCCTTAAAAATGAGTCACATCATCCAATAATATGGTGACAACTCATCTCATCTCTTTTCTTAGTTTAAGAAGTGAACCAAACACAATAAAAGAACCTATTATAGAAAATAGGTTTCTTATATTTGATTTCCTTGTTTTTTTAGCTAACCAAACAACCCCTAAAGCTATCATTCATCATTAATTACTATTTAGTTTTATTTTTCAGATAAAAGAAATGTTGTTTGGCAAAGGATTAAGTAAGTGGTCCTATCCAAATAAATAAATAAACGTTACAGTAGTTAACGCACCTCAATTTGCAAACGCAAAAATCTAAAAAGGGTTATCCCACTAAGGGGATTTATATGACCTCAAAATGAAGATTTTACAATCCACCTGTTTAGACAGATTAAAAATTAGCTATTTATTTAATTGACTAATCCATAGTTAACAAAAATGGAAAGGACCCACTTTTTGATGAAGACACAACTTCACCCTCTCCTTATCTAGAGGAATTTATTTCGTTCACGGGACACCTTCGACCTCAAGCAAGTAGTGCGTCAATTATTTGGACCATATAATCAAGTAACTCATGCCTTTATATGGACTACACTACCCTATTTCTAGCATATAAGTGTTAGTCCCTAGAGGGGGTTGGGGGGTGATTAGGATCTTGTGCTAATTTAATCCCATTATATGCCAATTAAAACTTATTAATTAATTATTCTTGCAAGATAGATATATAATATGTTATGAGCAAGAATATGCAATATGAACAAAGAGATATATCCTATATGATAAAATATATGCAATGATATATAAACAACACAAGGATAAACAATCTAAACTAAAGATACAATTGTGATAGGGTAATATAAACAATGTAAACACATAATATGATCACGGAGTTCGGACCTTCCATCCTACGTCTCCGCTTCCCACTCCCAGGGAGAAATCCACTATCACAACTGGGTTTTCTACGCTCACCCGAATAATGTTTACACCACACAATATCGGTTTTCAACAACTCACCGATCAACGTTCACAATCTCATAACTAACACATCGGGTTTTCTACGCTTACCCAAAAAACATTCACACCTCACAATATAGTTTTCTAGCTAACCGGAAACTCTACAACACTCATAATGTAAACACACTAACTACCACCTCAAGTGTTGGCCTCTAACCCCGTCTCTCACCAACACTTCTCTCGATGTCTAAGTGTAATACAAAGTGCAACTCACAATAATAGCTCATTGTGAGATTTGTTCTCTAATACAAGGCAAGAACTCAATTAGGCACAACTCAATGTCACAAACCCCACAACTCAAATTATACTATAAATGTAAATACAATAAGCTCAATGGTTGTGTGTGAACAAAGAGATTCAATAAAATAATTAAACTCAATATGAAATCTAGCTTACGAAATTAAGATCAAACATATAAAATGCTAGAATTGAGTTTAAGAAAAACTTCTCTATAGATCAAGAGAGAGAGGGAGAAGAGTCGGATACTCAAACACTGATGGATGATCTTCCTCAAGCTCTTGTGAAATTGTTTTCACAAAATAAACTCTCAATTGCTTAAAAGATTTTTAAACAAACACTAAATAAAACTTCTTAAAATATTCTCTTGAGAGTTTAGGACTAAGGATTTCTGGGGGTATTTATAGGAACCCCAAAGCAGGATTTCTGGGGGTATTTATAGGAACCCCAAAGCCAAGAGAAAACAAGGCAAAAAGACCAAAAACTCAAAAACAGTACAGTTTGAAAATATAGTCGTTGCAGTGTTATGAGTCGACTCAGTACTGTTCATGAGTCGACTCACAAGTAGTCGTTATAGGCTAAAAATCAACTTATGGGTTGACTCATAAAATTCATGAATCGACTCATCATGCAAGGGTCGACTCATGAAGTCATGGGTCGACTCAGCGGAAACAAAACACACTTTCCAGCACAGTTTGTGAGTCGATTTATGACAGGCATGAGTCAACTCAATCTAATGGGTCGACTCATGATGTTATGAGTCGACTCGTCAGAAACAAAATGTAAACTACATAATAGTTTATGAGTCGACTCAACACTGTTCATGAGTCGACTCAAGACATGCACACTGTCTGTTAAAACAGAAATCTGATTTTCAAACCTCTTTTAAAAATAGCAAATAAAATCAGAAAAATATAAAACTTTGGAAAATAATTATAAACATGATAATAAATATGCTATAAAAACTGGTTTTCAAAAAGGACCTCCCAAATAAAAAATATCATTATTTTACAAAACAGTCCAAAACATGAGAATGTAAACATATGAGTTTTGATATTTTAGCTTAATCATGTTTTGAAACATTACAAAATGATTTTGTAGACTTAATAAAAGATGTATATGATTATTGTTAAGTCCAAAAACTGAGAATACAACATTTTCACAAAATTACATATTTTGCAAACTTTCAGAAACAATAAATATGATTTCATTGAACTAAATAAAATTGATATTGATGAAATCATATATATACATATAAGTATGAAATAAGAAATGTATTTTTAATTGTATTCAATTGTTTCTTATTAAAACTTGAAAACTATAAAACCAAAACATGTATGTATATATATAACTATATATACATAGAAACCAATATATATGATTGAGCTTAAAGTACCAACACACATAATATAACACCTAAACTAAATGTTACCCAAGCAATTTTGATCTTTAATAAGCTTGACTTGGTACACTTGGATGAAGCATGAACTTGGATCTTCAACTTGAATTGCATGGCTTCACTCCACTATTCCGCCAATCTCCATTGGATATGATCGTGAATGCTCGATTATATCCAACCTCCAACATGTTGTTTGTCTACAATAAATAGATAAACACAAATACTAGACAAACAACATTAGTCATAAATTATTTGTTAAACATCATCAAAACAAGAAGGCCAACAATAAGGGACTGTTTGGTTGGTTTCCTAAAATCAAAGAAAAGGAAATAAGATAAGGAAATCATTAAAAGTTGATTTCCATCTCTTTTCTCAAAAAAAGTTATGAAATGGTTTTCCTTAAAAATGAGTCACATCATCCAATAATATGGTGACAACTCATCTCATCTCTTTTCTTAGTTTTAAGAAGTGAACTAAACACAAGAAAAAAAGCTATTATAGGAAATAGGTTTCTTATATTTGATTTCCTTGTTTTTTTTAGCTAAGGGGTTGTTTGGTTAGCTAAAAAAAAATAAGGAAATCAAATATAAGAAAACATATTTCCTATAATAGCTTATTTTCTTATGTTTGATTTGTTGG